GCTCAAAATCAATTCGGGCTTTTTAGCCTTCCAAATTTTTTAGGAAATATTTGTTCATTATTAATGTTTTCCATAACAAGATTTAGGATGATTTGTAGATCTTCTCTCTACTATAAGAGCGCAATTAAATAAACCTTCTATAACTTGATTAAAGGATATTTACTCCGAGTGTTTTTTTTTTGTCCGTTTCAGTTCTGTTAATCATTCATGGGATTATAAGAGAAGTGAAGATCTAATCCACTTGCTGAATCCTTTAATTTCCGTAGTTTGAAGGAGAGGAAAAAAAACTCTAGAGAAATGTCTAATTTTACTAATGAAACTTCTGAAGCAAGAAGATCAAATGACCACGATGATGATTGTGGTATGCGTTACAGTTAATTTGTAATTAAATTCCATTCTTTGATTGTTTTATTTTCTAATCACTCTTCTTTTTCGTGGTGCTGTTTAATTATTCGAGATTGTCTTTATTATTCCTAGGATCAATTCCCTCTGAACTATATGGGAGAGCTACGTGGTTAATTGAGAATTTTTCACAAAGCAATAAAGAGATCCGTAGCAATGTTTTTAAAGCTGGAGACTACAAATGGTAAATGTCATTTTTTTCCATGTGATTATGATAATAATCAAAAAGCTTAAAACTCTCTGAATTTATATGTTTTTTTTCTTCTACATATGACAGGTATTTGTTACTATATCCACAAGGATGTACTGTTTGCAACCATCACTCTGTGTTTCTCTCTGTGTTGCAAACCATGATAAACTTCTTCCAGGTGATTATTGTTCTTCTGTTTTTAGCTTTCCCTCTCTTTGATTCTCCAAACCTTTTATCATCAATTAGGTTACATTATACAGGATGGAGTCGTTTGGCTCAGTTTACTGTAACTTTGGTGAATAAAGATCCAAAGAAATCGAAGCATTCAGGTTATACATTTTGCAAATTTTTCTCAAAAAAAGGTTATACATTTTGCGTATTTTATTTACTTTTTATCTGAATCCACAGTACGCATACAAACTGAACACATTTTCTCGCTACACCAGTTTTCCAAAAAAAGAGCATAAGTGGGGATGGAAAAAGCTTATTGAGTTACCTAGATAACCGCATGGAGTCGTTCATGATTTTGACTCTCTTCTAATTAAGGCGCAAGTTCAGGTGATTAGGTAAATATGCCAAGATTTTTAGTGTGTCTAGAATCATGTATATATATAGCCATTTACATACATCCTAATTATCTTTAAAATTGATTCTTGCAGAGAGAGTGTGGACCGACCTTCTTGCTGCCTTGATGATCGCTATATGAAGGAACTTCTTGCTGTGTATTCGTCAAGTGTAAAGCAAATTTTCTTCAGATTTGTGGATGAGAAAAGAAGCAAGCTTGTGCGATTGAAAGATGACAAGAAGAGATGGGAAAGGTAAATTTTCCATCTTGATTAAAAATGTGTTCCTTAAAAGTTTGAGCAATTTTGAATCACTACAAGAATGGAA